TGGTTTAGTTGGGTAGCAGCAGGGCTAGGCTTTGCACCGGGAGTGGTATTTGGATTAACCATCGGATACATAATGGTGACATACAAGCACAAGTGGTTCATGAAGACTTTTCGCCGAAACAAACATCGAAGCACAAGAACTCGTTCGTTAAACCCCTCATCGATCGCCTCTCCCCTAAGCATTCTTGTTATTTTCAATAAACAAGTTGTATTCAGTATCATGATAGTAAAACTTTGTTAACTATTTTACCAGCATCATTTGTGATAGCTAGTGAAAAAATGTTTCGATAATTTTGTACGTTATGGTATGCACGATCCGCTTGTTCGACACAACCCGTATTTGTTCGTTCCATCCAGATTGCATAGTCAGAGAACTTAGAGTAATGGGTAGTTTGACAAGTCAGAAAATGGGACGAAGAGTATCTATCACTATTGTTGTTGTTCTGTGGTGAATCAATAAGAGGTGGCTATATGTCCTGTGATAACTTTTGTTTTGCCAAATGATCCATGGGGTCTCTTTGTACATATTTGCCTACCGATACCAAAATCGCTCCATCGAGTATGAAAACATGTATAAGATCACAAAGATGATCTCAAAACCCAACACAGTTGTAAATTCGACCGGAGTAGAGTGAAACCTGGTTGTTTCACTCTCCTGCGAAGTCCATCCTCCTGAGATGTAAAACTCCTTCAAAACCTTCCTTCATTCTCGGTAGTTTAAGAGTCTGGCTAATCGTTGTGTAGATGGGAGGAGTTTCTCTTTCGGCATCTATTAATATACCAAGTAGCATGTTTCCTAAGTCCCATGCCGATAAGAACTTTGAGACTTGTGAGCATTATATACGTTATGATGAATAAGAGGACCATCCACAACACTCTCCATGGGAGGGGACTGTAAGGCAAGTGTGCTGCATATACTGGAGTCAGTACTCTGATCACCTGAAGCCCAAAAACACACAAACTCATTTTCAAGCTTTTTCTTTTTGAGTTATCCCAAACCAGCCAATCATGAGTTTTTAGGTTGAAAGGAAAGAGGAATATACCACACAAGCGGGTGCTATGGGAACGAAGGTGAGATTCGTCTTTCTATCTTCTGGGCGAATGTTTAAAGTCTGACAAAGAAGATTTGGTGAGAAGGATAAATGGATGTAAGAAATACAAAACCCAATAGGACCAATGGAACAGCAAGAGAGAAGTGATTATATCAACCATACCTGCTCGCAGAGAGCTTGAAGAAACTCAGAGTACGCTATGGGTTTGATGTCATTGAACTTGGCAAGAAATGAATGCTTGATGATGTCTATCATCATCTCACAGAAAAAGACCATAGTAGCATTCTGGGCATAATGTAATTACTTATGAGCAACCTGGAAAGAGGCTTGTATGTAATTTATTTACAACTACCAGTGAATAATGTTCACTTACATAGATAAAGTTTCCAAACCATGGACCTTCAGCCTCGAGAATGTTTTGAGCCAAAACAGACACCAGGAAGGCCGATATGTGGAATCTCTCTACTGAATCTGGTAGAGAAATTGTAAGGAAACCAGAACATACCAGTCAAAAACCAAAGTTAAAAGCTGGAAACACAGTCTCAAATCGACCCCATCTTGAAAGGTGGTTGAAAAAGAATTAAGCTGATGATCAAAGCTGTAGGAGGCGTATAACTATTTAAGACACCAAAATTCGACTAAGGGAATGAAGTAAAAGCTTACCCGCATATACTAGACCATGAATGTTGTCCTTGCTGAAACGCTTAAAGACACTGCCCTTGATCTCAGCAAAGTTATTTGACACCAGAAGGGCCAACAAGGCATTGTTGTGAGCAACAATACAAGTTGACAACGTAATTGCCTGAGCTAACAAAATGAATGAATGGAGAAGTGAAGACAGTTAAGGAGAAAACAGAATAAAGATGTGGAAGTAGTTAACATAAATCAAACTAGCAATCAAGTAATGAGGATATTTGACGCAGCCATAGTTAATGCTAGGTCCGAAACGAATCTCCAAGTACAAAATCTTAGTTTCTCAGGAGGGGAAGTAGATACTCCCGCTGCAGAACTAAAGAGGGCCCCAAATACATCTCCACAAAAACTTTGACAGAGTCTATCAAATATCTGAAACACAATATTTGTATTAGTACCAATTGGATAGAGAAGAAGGTAAACCGGACAGAAGCACTGAACTACCAACAAAATCATTTAAGAGATGAGAGGAAGAAAAGTGAAATAAAAATGAAGATTCAGAGCTGAAAAAATCGAAAAAGGTGTTTACATTACCTCCAAGATATTATAAACCACATATAGTTTTATGGTACTTTGACCACGAATCATGTGGTAAATTAGGCTGATATCTGCGGTAACAAAACAAAGAGAGACAACAAATTAGAGAACTGTTCTGACAATCCATTATCTCATCACTTTAATGAGCTGAACAGAAAAATCCATTCTTCCATTAAAAATTAACAATTAACAAATCAAGTAGTGCCCTATGCAACCCATTGTACCGCTGCAGATGTCTGATAGATTAACCATAACAAGTTTATGCAAATCAGAGAGCTTTTTACTACACCTGTTCTCCCAAGAAGAATGGTACCAGAAGCCAAAACTATAAAACAAGCAAGATCAGACAGCTCCGATGAGGAGGGCCTCCTGAACTGCCTGCCACGAATATTATCAAGTTACTTCCTCACAATGGGAATAGCAGAATCATGTGTATAACGAATAGTATGATCAAGGCATATTACACTTGCTTCAAAGATGCACATTGTGGTAATACAGTCTAGTTCATAGCATATTAAGCGTGTTATATGATCAAGGACGAATCTAGAAAATGACTCACCTTTTCTTAAAAGCACCATAGAATATCAGCAGGACTCTTATTGGCATGACTGTCAACAATGACAGAAATGAGTTGACGCAGACAAAAAATCCAGTATTTATAAGCTGCATTAAAATTCTTTAAAATGTGAAAAACCTCACAAGCATACATACACACAACACGGTATATATTGAGTTCCAATTTAGGTAGCCCCTCACATAATGGATTGCATCACCACCCATATCAACTGAGATACACAACATAGCACACCTAGCAAACTTAAGAATGTTCATTATGTGAGTTAAAGGGAAAGTCGGTTTTACCACTTCACATCGCCATGGCAAACGGAAGATTGTATCGTATATTCTTTCGCGTTCTATATCATTCGCAGAAGTCGTTGTGCTCCGTAATGAGACCCCACCATAAATCTCCCCCATAAAGTACTTCATAGGTGACCTCGTCTCAGCACTAAGAACTGATGACAAGACTACTAGACATTATTGTACAGAAATGACTACCAAAAGAGAAAGAGAGCAATAAAAGTTGGGAACTTACAATCAGGATCATCTGCCATAAGCTGTTTCCAATCCAAAGAAGCTTCTGTGTCTAGTCTCGTTACTCCATTTCCATTGTTCTCACTTCTTGGAAACTGATTCTGTACTTCATGAAACGGTGGATTTTCAGAGGAGCTAAGCTCCGCACTTGTCTCCTCCGTATATAACTTCTTATCAGAAGTCACTGAATCAGAAAATCGATCATCGTTACTCCCGTCGACACTCCCGTTAACATTCCTCTGCCTTAGCTCACCGAAATTAAACCCATTGTGGTGTACAGTCTGCCCATCTAATAGAGTCACGACGCAGCCACCACCACCACCGCCAAAGTAATTCAATCTGTTTTCAAACATGTCCCTTTCTCCACCGATCTCGGAATTTCCAAAATCACAAGAAACCCAACTCGAATCCTCCACCGAACCGTTTACGATCGTCGCCGAATGAGAATCGCCGTTCTCTGGAATAGTCTCGACTTGGG